AGCTCTACAGTTGTTCCAGTACCATCTCTAGAAAATAAAACTATTTCTTTTCTGTTGAATTGTCTCAGCACCTTTATTGAAAATCTCTTGATAAATGGAGAAAAGATTGAAATTTTCAAGGATTTGATTTCCCTTGGATCCACAATCAATGCCCATAGAAGCAACAGTCAAGAAGCCAAATGACAAATGACATATTGCATTGGACAAATCTGTTGCAAAAGACCACTTTAAAGTGTTAAAAAGCAAAAATGTCACTTTGAAGACTAAGATATGCCTAACTCAGGCTCTGGTATTTTCATTTGCCTCATATGCATGTGAAAGCTGGACAATGAATAAGGAAGACTGAAGAATTGATTCCTTTGAATGATGGTGTTGGTGAAGAATATTGAATATACCATGACCTGCCAAAGAAATCTGTGTTGAAGAAATATAGCCACAGTGCCCCTTAGAAGTACGGATGGTGAGTCTTCATCTCACGTACTTTGGACATGCTATCAGAAGAAAACAGTCCCTGGAGAAGGAGATAATGCTGGGTAGAGTAGAGGGTCAGTGAAAAAGAGGAAGATACTCAGTGAAATGGATTGACGCAGTGGCCGCAACAAGGGCTCAAGCACGGGAATGATTGTAAGGGATGCACTGGACAAGGCAATACTTTGTTCTGTTGTACGTAGGGTCACGTGAGTCAGAAATGACTCACCGACACCTAACAACAACAAAAGTTCCTTTATTTTTGAGAACAAGAATTGATTTATATAAAAGCACCATGATATTTTCTCAGTTGCACTCCTCAGAGTTGTCAAATGGGGTCTGTCCATTCCCATTTCAGAAGGAAGAGAAAATAGTAGTCATAGATCTTGGGGGGTCATGACCATCCCCGTCCCTCATGCACAGAATCTCTGAAATTACAAGTAGAGATGCTTCCTAGGTGAGGATTTTCCTTATTTGTGCTCCAGTTAAATCTTCCAAAACAGGGTTTAACAAGTCTCTTTGGGATACCTTTGCCTCTTCCCTGACTCCTTAACACACTCCCCAAGGCTTCTGCAGGTCTTACTACCTGGCCTTACTTTATGAACTATATTCCTTGTGGAGACTAGATGGGGGGGGGGGGGGGGGAAGCACATGGGATACATATTAAGTCTCCTTCTCAGTCGGGTGTAACATAAAACTCAATCAACACTAAGAGGATGGGTATAGCATATGGGTTCCACCTGCCTAAAAGTATACTTAATCTATTTGGAGAATTCAGGGGTTGAGAAATTTTGGTATATTTGAAACCATAATAAATTTAAGCTGTGGTAACTGTAAATAAAATATCAAAGAGTCATAGGCATCATTCTAATATTTCTGAAATTTATAAGCTTAAAGGGAGTGAAGAATTCATAGACCCTGTCATCTGACCATGAACGTTTCCCTCGGAAGACCAGAGATAAGTCCAGAGGGAGAGCCATTTCCCTGGAAAGCAGCAGATACCAGTTTATACAATGATCAGTTGTCCCTCCCTCATCACCAGACTCACAGAAGCGTGGCGAGAGGTGGTTGAGCTAAGCAAATATACAAGCACCTCTCCAGTGAGAAATTTGGTCTCCATTGGGACACTTTGTCTTCCAAGAAGATCCTTGGAAAAAAGTTTCGATACTGACTTAGAGATGTTTTTTTTTTTTTTCTTAGTTTTGAAGCTTCACCCAACTCAGATCCTGATTGCCTTCTTTCATTTGGTTGTAAGTATGAGGTAAATTTGTTATATTATCTAGTCTTTATTCACCAGGCAGTTTCAGATAGGCTATAGTGAAAATCCATAAAATGTAGCTGGTATTGTCTGTTGACACCAAATTTCTGCTATTTTGGGATTTATGTACTAGAATGATTTAATTGAAAGTTGTCATTGTTTTTATTTTTTTAATGTACTGTTTTTCCATTCAAGTGTATGAAATCCAAGGAATATTCGATGCTATAAACTTACACTTTTTGTTTCAAGGATGAGAAATTTCCTTATATATTTTTTGAGTTTTGTAAACATTCTCTGTCTCAGGTACCTGAAATCAAAGGAGTTCTACTTGTTTCCAAAGTACACTTTGTGTTACTTGGACAGGAGTGCTCCCAGTTGTGCTCCCATTGTGTTACAAGAAAGATAATTTTCTCATTATGTTCTCTGCAGGAGAAAATGGTATATCAATTCTCCCATTGAACTACAAGTCAAAGGAGTTTGACATGATATGCAACTACATTTTGTGTTACGTGGACTGGAAAGTTCACCGTACATTTTCAGAATAAGAAAACAATGTCCTATTTTTCCTTTTCATGTATATGAGTTCCCAAGAGTTTTACAAGTTATCAAAGAACACTTTCTGTTACAAGTATTGGAGACTTCCCAATACATTTTCTGAAGGGGAAAAGAAAGTACTGTGTTTCCCATTCTAGTACATGAGGTCAAAAGAGACTGACATGTTATCAAAATACATGTTGCGTGACATTGTTTTTAGATGCATATAAATGGGTAATCTGCTTTGCTTCATTTATTGTGGAATTTCTTCTTTAAATTGTAAGGTAGAACATCCCTGTGAGGGATTTGATTGTAAAAGTTTCTATTGCCTCCTGAAATTAGGTTGGGTTTTTGATGGATTAATGGGCCTAACCTGCCACCAAATGTGTTCATGTTGTAGAAGAAGAGATTTTGAAAGTTCTGTTTTGGGATGTGAACTTCCTTTGGCTGAGTTAAACACGTGAATGTCTTTTCTGTGAATTGTCTTGTCGATCCAAGCCGATTAGATATGTCAACCTGTAGGAACCATCTTGCACGTCTTTAGCACAAGAGTGCACAACGTGTGTGTGTGTGTGTGCAGGACGGAGCATACGTTTAGTAATCCCCCTGGCTTTTATATTTTGTGATTAGCCTCCTACAGAGAGCAGGAGGATAAGGTGATGCTTATCGATCCTTCTCATTGTTTTGTGCCTTCATCGTGTGATTTTTATGCTTACATTCCTATCTTCATTGGCTCCAAATCTTAAGAAATTTGATGGGAAAATGGACAGTATTTTCCTGTCTAACTTATGGCCGCTGAACTGTATTGTTGGAAGGGACCCTAACATCCCTTTAGTTCAACTTCTCACATGATACTGGAATCCCACCTTAAAGAGTTGGTTACTCAGTTTCTGGTTTAAAACTTTCACTGACAGTTAAATCCTAATAAAAATAACCAGTTTTCAAGGAGATGGTTCCAATTTATAAAATTAATTCTTGGACAAAAACAATATCTTCTTACAATAATTTCCACTATGAATTCTATTCTTTTCTTTGAAGCAAGGCAAAGTTTTTCTCACTTATGCTAATGAATTCTTTCAAATATTAATTTACAAAAAAACTTGAATGGGAGTTCATAGACAGGCACTTGGTTAGGAAGTTTTCTAGGATTCTTACTTGAGTGAAGTCCAGATGGATTCTGGGTGGAAGGAGCATATGAAGATAGACAGGTAAGAAAGCAGAAACAATGGTTTAGAACATACAATGTTTCTAGCCTCAGAATACTCACTCTGTTGTGGAAGGATTTTAAAAAATTTTGATAAACTAACACAAACTAAAGCTTTGCATAAGTGAAACTTAATTAAATATTTTACTTTAGAGTTGAGAAGATATCAAACATGTTGGAGATCCATACCTGTGAGTGTACAGTTAGAGCTGAAGTTCTAAGCTTGGATGAATATCAGTAACTTTTTAAACTCCAGGACATAGCTCATCATGAAGGTACTTAATGGGTTGATTTCGACCAGCATTTTTTTCAAATTAAGGGAGTAGAACAGAGTAGATTAGACCAGAGTTGAATAGATAGTAATAAATATGTTGCACCTAGTGGGAACTCAAGTATATGGATATTTGCATGTGTATGTATTGGGTAGACATTTCTTACCATGGGATGTGGCAAACATTTGGAAAAATTCTGATATAGATAAATATGGTGAGAGATATACACTGACATAGAATGTAAATATACACATAAGTACAACAGAGATGACCCTTGTGACCTTCCGGTCATGAGACACAGGATCATATTAGACAGTCTCTGAGTACAAAAGCCCAAGCACAATGGCACCTGTTGTCAACCCAACCAAAGAGATGGAAAACCACCACTGTCTCGAGTCAAGATTGTGCTCTTAATATGTATCAGAAGCCTAAAAAGTTATGATGAAGTGAAGGTATGCATTTGTGAGAAAACCTAATAGAAAGAACACTGAGATTCTCCGCACCCTCCCTCCATGCTCAGATGGGAGTATGTGACCCACACACACAGTCACCCTTATGGATGTATGCCCACTGTGGTAGAGAAATACACTTGGGAAAATCCTGATACAATCACCACAAGCCTCAGGACAGTGTCACCACCACGAAGGCCCTTTAGTTGTTAGCATACTTTGAACTCTGGCGAAAGTTGCTTTGGAAGTAGAGGTCAGATAAACTGAATACTGTAATGGACCACTAAAAAGAAAGGGGGGGAACCTTGGTGGCATAGTGCCTATGGCATTTGACTGCTAATCAGAAGGCTGGCAGTTCAAACTCATCAGCCACTCCTCGGAAGGAAGACTGGGAAATCTACTTCTGACTGCCTCAGAATATCATGTTGTTGTTGTTGTTGTTATGTGCCATCAAATCAGACCTGACTCATAGAGACCCCTCCTTGGGTTACTGAGGCAGTATCACTATGGAAGTAGATTGCCCAACCTTCCTTCCAAGGAGTGGCTGGTGGGTTTGAACCACCAGACTTCTGGTTAGCAGTCAAGTGCCTTAGGCACTAAGCTACCAGAGCTCCCTCGGAATATCATAGGTGAAAAAAATGTCTTCTCCTTCGTTTGGAACACAGAGTTTTCACTTAGTAGCAGACAAAACATCTCATTGGACGTGCTATGTTTTCCTACAAAACACTCAATCAGTGACACACATAGAGATCCACCATGTTTAATGCTTCCCTGTCCTTTACACTTGATGAACTGTACTGTTTCTTTCCAGAGAAATGTGTCAAAATCAGACCTTCATCACTGAGTTCATCCTCCTGGGGTTTCCTGTTGGCCCAAGGCTTCAGCTGCTCCTCTTTGGGCTCTTCACCCTGTCCTATGCCCTCACTCTGCTGGGGAACGGTGCCATTCTGGGGCTCATCTGTCTGAACCCCAGACTGCACACCCCCATGTACTTCTTCCTCTCCCACCTGGCCATTGTTGACATGTCCTATGCTTGCAACACGGTGCCCCAGATGCTGGTGAGCCTCCTGAGTCCCACCATGTCCATCTCCTTTGCTGGCTGCATCACACAGACCTTCCTCTTTTTGGTATTTGCTCACACAGAATGTCTTCTCCTGGTGGTGATGTCCTACGATCGCTATGTGGCCATCTGCCACCCCCTCCGGTACTCTGCCATCATGAGCTGGAGGCTCTGTGTCAGCCTGGCAGTGATTTCTTGGATTTTAGGAGTCCTCCTGGCCCTGGTACATTTAATATTACTTTTGCCTCTACCCTTCTGTGGATCTCAGAAAGTTAATCACTTTTTCTGTGAAATCATATCTGTTCTCAAGCTTGCCTATGCAGACACCCACGTTAATGAGATCGTGGTCCTGGCTGGGGCAGTGTCTGTGCTGGTGGGACCCTTCTCCTCCATTGTGATATCCTACATTCACATTCTATGTGCCATCCTGAGGATCCAGTCTGGTGAAGGGCGCCAGAAAGCCTTCTCCACCTGCTCCTCCCACCTCTGTGTGGTTGGACTCTTCTATGGCACCGCCATTATCACGTATGTTGGACCCAGATATGGGAACCCTGGAGAGCAGAAGAAATATCTCCTCCTGTTTCACAGTCTTTTCAATCCCATGCTCAACCCTCTGATCTACACTCTGAGGAACAAAGAAGTCAAAGCTGCCCTGAAAAGAGTGCTTGGAAAGGGAGGAAATTCGTGAAAGACTTGTAGAATAACAGATTTATTGGGTTTGAATAATTTGAGGAGTAAGTTCATCCAATACTCACACAAGACACATAAACATGCTCCAGGACACTACTCTCACCTTCTTGGCATTTTCCTATGGATAACCCCAAGAAAGCCTTCCATGTTCCTCTCCCCACCCTGGAGATCAGTGCTGCACAAGAAAATAAAAACACCTTACAAAGGCCGCAGGGAGTACACACTTTTAATATGATTATGTGGGATGTTATGAATAGGATAAATTTCTATCTTTTTTTGTGATTGTTGTTCTGTAATCAGTATTTATAGACAAAATTTGATTGAATAAAATGAGGCATTCACTATGAGAATATTTATGATATGGGTTTTGGGAAAGATTGATAATAGAGTTGTTATTCAAATATTTTTAGTATAGCAGCTGTCATCTTGAAAAATAACTTCCTCTAAAAATATTTGTATGTATTACTACGATAAATAATGATGTTTTCTGAAATATAATCAACTTAAATTAGGAAGAACACAAGCTATGTAATCCAGGGAAAGAGAATGAAGAATGTTAACTATAAAGCACCTGAATTAAAAATAATCCTCGGAGGATGTTTTGCTTATAAATATATAGACATGTTGGAACATTTTCACATTTGGAAGGAGAGCTGAAGGAAGAACGCAGAGCCAAGGAATAACTGGGAGTCCTAGGAAGAGCTACAGCTTATTCTCTGGTTTGTTCAGTTGACTCATTTTGTTGTTGTTGTGGTTAGGTGCCATCAAGTCATCTCCAGCACATAGCGACCTCATGTACAGCAGGATGAAACACTGCCCGGTCTTGTGCCAGATCCCTGCTATACCTGAGCCCATCATTGTAGCCACTGTTTCAATCCATCTTGTTGAGTGTCTTCTCCTTTTTCATTGACCCTCCACTTTACCAAACATGAGTTGACTCATAGAAAAGACAATAAAAACTTGGATGAAAAATCTTGACAACTAAGAACAGACTATGATTATTTCGATGACTAGTTGATCAATGAAACAATGCTATTGTTAGGTGCCATCCAACTGGTTCTAACTCATAGTGACCCTGTGTACAACAGAAATTAACACAGCCCAGTTCTGCATCATTCTCAGAATTGTTGCTATGTTGAGCCCATCATTGCAGCCACTGTGTCAATCCATCCCATTGAGGGTCTTCCTGTTTTTTGCTGACCCTGCACTTTACCAAGCATGGCAGCTTTCTTCAGGAACTGATCCCTCCTGAGAGCATGTCCAAAGTACATGAGGCTTTCCTTCCTCATGTCTAAGAAGCATTATGGCTGTCCATCTTCCAGGACAAACTTGTCTTCTTCCAGCAGTCCAACAGTCTTCCTTATTCATTGTTCACCTTCCACATGCATTGTGGTGACTGAAAACACCATGGCTCCTCTTGGTCCTCAAAGTGCCATCTTTGCTTTCTAACACTTGCAAGAAGTCTTTTGCAGCAGATTTGCCCAATGTAGTGCATTGTTTGATTTCTTGACTGTGGCTTCCATTGGCATTGATTGTGGATTCAATTAAAAGGAAATCATTGACAACTTCAGTGTTTTCTGTTTGTCATAATGATTTTATTGGTCCAGTTTTGAGGATTTTTTTTTTTTTTATGTTGAGGTGTAATGCTTATTGAGGCTGTAGACTTTGATCTTTATCAGTGTTTCAAGTCCTCTTCACTTTCAGTAAACCAGATTATATCATCTCCTATGGCAGGTTTTTACTGAGTCTTCCACCAATCCTGAGGCAGAATTGTTCTTCATATAATCCAAGTTTTCAGATTATTTGCTCAGCATAGATTAAATATATATGGTAAAAAAGATACAACCCTGATGCAACCTCTCCTAACTTTAAAGCACACAGTATCCCCATGTTCTCTTCCAACCACTTCCTCTTGGTCCATGTGCAGGTTCCTCATGAGCACAATTAAGTGTTCTGCAATTCTCCTTCTTTGCAATATTATCCATAATTTGTTATGATCTACCCAGTCAAATGCCTTTGCATAGTCAATAAAGCACAGGTATACATCTTTCTGCTATTCTTTGCTTTCAGCCAAGATCCATCCAACATCAGAAATATCCTTCATTCCACACCCTCTTTTGAATCCAACTTGAATTTCTGGCATCTCCCTGTCAGTATATTTCTGCAACTGTTTTTAAATTATCTTCAGCAAAATTTTACTTGCGTGTGGTATTACTGATCCTGTTCAATATTTTCTGTATCTATTGGATCATCTTTCTTTGGAATGGGCACATATATGGATCTTTTCCAGTCTGTTGGCCGTGAAGCTATCTTCAAAATTTCTTGGCATAAACGAATGAGTGTCCCCAGGACTGCATCCATTTGTTGAAACATCACAGTAGTATTGCATCAATTCCTGGATCCTTGGTTTTTTGTTGTTGTTGTTTTGTTTTTGCCAATTCCTTCAGTACGGCTTGGACTTCTTCCTTCAATACTATAGGTCTTGATCATGTGCTACCTCCTGAAATGGTTGAACATCGACGAATTCTTTTAGTACAGTGACTCTGTATTCCTTCCATTGCCTTTTGATGCTTCCTGCACATTTCAATATTTTGCCCATAGAATCCTTCAACATTGCAACTAAGGGCTTGATTTTTTTTTCTTCAGTTCTTTCAGCTTGAGAAATGCAAAATGTGTTTTTACCCTTTGATTTTCCAACTCCACGTCTTTGCACATTTCATTATAATAGTTTACTTTGTCCTTTTGAGCTGCCCTTTGAAATCTCTATTCAGCTCTTTTACTTCATCATTTCTTCCATTCGCTTTAATTACTCTCTGTTTAAGAGCAAGTTTCAGAGTCTCTTCTGACATCCATTCTGGTCTTCCCTTCCTTTTCTGTCTTTTAATGACCTTTTTTTCCCCCTTACATATGATATCCTTGATGTCATCCCACAGCTCATTTGGTCTTCGGGCACTGGTGTTAAATGCATCAAATCTGTTCTTCAGATGGTCTTAAAATGCAAGTGGAACATACTCAAGATCATATTTTGGCTCTCATGGACTTGTTTCAATTTTCTTCGGCTTCAACTTGAACTTGTCTAGGAGCAATTGCTGGTCTGTTTCACAGTCAGCCCCTGGCCTTGTTTTGACTGACGATACTGAGCTTCTCCATTGTCTCTTTTCACAGACTTAGTCTATTTGATTCCTGTGTATTCCATCAGGTCAAATACACCTGTATAGTCACTGTTTATGTTGTTTAAAGAGGGTATTTGCAATGAATGTTATTGGTCATGCAAAATTCTACCATGCTATATCTGTCATCTTTTCTAGCCATACTTTCCAACTACCAATGCTTGTTTGTTTCCAACTTTCATTTCCAATCACCAGTAATTATCTACACATCTTGATTTCATGTTTGGTAAATTTCAGACTGCATCTCACAAACCATCGAGTTGATTCTGACTCATAATGACTCCAATTGGGTTTTCAAGGCTGTAAATTTTTACCAAAGAAGACCACCTCATCTTTCTCCCATGGAGCAGCTGCTAGGTTCAAACCATGGATCTTTTGGTTAGCACCCAAATGCCTTAACCACTACACCATGAGAGTTACTTTCAGACTGCATAAGTTGGTGGAAATCTTCAATTTCCTCAACTTTGACTTTAGTGGTTGGTGTTAAATTTGAATAATAGTAGTAGTAACTGGTCTTCCTTGTAGGCATATGGATGTTATCCTATCACTGACAGCTTTATACTTCAGTATAGATCTTGACTTTTTTTTTTTTTTTGGATGATGAATGGGATGTTATTCCTCTTCAATTTGTCATTCCCAGTAGAGTAAACCATATAAAATTGTCTGATCCAAAACAGCCAATATCAGTTCATTTCAGCTTACTAATGCCTAGGATATCGATCTTTGCATTCCATTTCAAACATGTCATCTGATATCTTGACTGCTCCTTCCATTGGTGTTGATTGTAGAACCTAGTAATATGAAGTCTTTGACAACTTCAATCTTTTCTCCATCTTCTTGAATTATTTGCTCAGCATACTAATTTAATAAAGATGGTGAAAGGATACAACCCTGACACACTCCCTTCTTGATTTTAAACCATGAAGTATCCCCTTGCTTTGTTTGAATGACAGCTTCTTGGTCTATGTACAGGTTCCTCATGAGCACAATTAAGTGTTCTGGAATGTCTTTTCTTCTCAATGTTATCCATAATTTGCTATGATTCACACAATCAAATGCTTTTGCATAGTCAACAAGACACAAGTGAACATCTTTCTGGTATTCTTTGCTTTGAGCCAAGATCCATCTGACATAAGCAATGATTTCCCTCATTCCACATCCTCTTCTGAATAAAGCTTGCATTTCTGGAAGTTCTCTGTCAGTATATGGTTGCAATAATTTTTTAATTATCTTCAGTAGGATTTTACTTGCATGTGATATTAATGATATTATT